CGGCCTCAAGCCACGTGTTGATGAGAATTCCTCCGAGCCTGGGAAGCCACGGGGAGGGGCGCGCTTCGAGGAAAGTGGTCCTCTCTCCGCGGGGCAAGTGGTCGGGTGCCAGGGAGACGACCCCGCGGTCACTGCCTCGGCGACCAAGTGTGCTTCGGCCGGAGTCGGTGGGCGTGGCGCGGCGGGTTTCAAATTTTGTGACGGAATTCCTGCGCGGGAACTTCTGCTGACGCTGATGGATGGCGTCGGGAAGGGGTGCACGGGGCCAGAGGACTCCTGAGGGGAAGGATTCGCTCTGGTCCTTAATGTGGGCGTCGTGTCTGTCACGGACTGGAGGCGCGCCGGGGATTGGGGATTGGGGATTGGGATACGCCGGAAACTGGAACTGTGGCTTTCCTGCTCCTCCTGCCGGTGGCCGCCCAATTCCAGTCCCCCCTCCTCCCGCGTGCATCCTTGGGCGCGGAAGCAGGGCAGGCGAGGAGGAGGCGAAGCAATGGCGCGGAGAGGACGCGCGGACGGCCGGGGTCGCGGTGCTCTGAAGGGTCGCTCGGCCGGGCCTGACGGGGGCCTCGCGTCAGGAATCCCTCGCTGCTCATTCGGAATGTCATCTTGGCGGGAGCCATGCCAGCAGGCGACAGGTCATTCGCTCTCGCTCTCTCTTTTTATTCTGTCTTATTCTCTCTTGTGCTCTCTTATTCGTCTCTTCTCTCTCTCTCTCTCTCTCTCTCTCTCTCTCTCTCTCTCTCTCCTCTCTCTCTCTCTCCCTCTCCCTCTCCTCCCTCTCCCTCTCCCTCTCCCTCTCCTCTCCCTCCCTCTCCCTCTCCCTCTCCCTCTCCCTCTGTCTCTCTCTCTCTGTCTCTTCTCTCTTCTCTCTCTCTCTCTCTCTCTCTCTCTCTCTCTCTCTCTCTCTCTCTCTCTCTCTCTCTCTCTCTCTCTCTCTCTCTCTCTCTCTCTCTCCTCTTTCTCTCTTTATTCTCTCTCTCTCTCTCTCTCTCTCACTCTCTCATTCTCATCTCTCTCTCTCTCTCTCTCTCTCTCTCTCTCTCTCTCTCTCTCTCTCTCTCTTCTCTCTCTCTCTCTCTCTCTCTCTCTCTCTCATTCTCTCTCTCTCTTTCATTCTCTCTCTCTTTCATCTCTCTCTCTCTCTCTCTTTCATTCTCTCTTCTCTCTTTCATTCTCTCTCTCTCTCTTCATTCTCTCTCTCTTCCTCTCTCTCTCTCTTTCTCTCTCTCTCTCTCTCTCTCTCTCTCTCTCTCTATCTCTATATATGTATATATATATATATATATATATATATATTATATATGTGTGTGTGTGTGTGTGTGTGTGTGTGTGTGTGTATGCATGTTTGTATGCGTGCATGCATGCATGTATCTGTATGGATGTATGTGCACGCGCGCCCATGTCGGCGTGCTTGCAGGGCAAGCTGAGCCTTCCGTCCGGGAAGAGGCATGTGGCAAAGCGAGGCCGAGAGAGATGGGGAAATATGAATATGAATGGCCGTGTATTTGACGGGGCGGATGATGGATGCGGATCAATGATTGTGTGTAAAGGGAAATGCGGCGCCTGTTTGGCTCTTGTGGAAAGGTGCGTCGTCGCCTCACTTGGCCAGCCTCCTTGTCGCACGCGCGCTCGTCTGCGGATGCCGGAGCGCCCTTTGTCGCTAGTGCTGCGGCGTCTCCTCTCTTCTTCTCTCTCCTCCCTTATCCTGTCTTCGTCTTCGCTTTCATCGCCTGTATCTTCTTCATCTCTTATCCTTCTGGTCGTCGTCATCGTTTTCTCCTCCTCCTCCTCCTCTTTTTTATCCTTCCTCCTCCCTCCTCCTCCCTTTACATCCACCTTCTCTCTCCTCCTCCCCTCTACCTCCACCTTCTTTTTCTCTCCTACTCTACCTCCACCTCCACCTCCTCCTTCTCCTCCTCCCATTACCTCCACCTTCTTCTTCTGATTCTTCTCTCCTCCCCACCCTCCTTCCCCCCTCCTCCCCCTCCCCTCCCCCTCCCCCCCTCCCCCTCCTCCTCCTCCTCCTCTTTCCCCTCCCCTACCCCCTCTCCTCCTCCTCTTTCCCCTCCCCTTCCCCTCCTCCTCCTCTTTCCCCTCCCCACTTCCCCCTCCTCCATCCGCGCATCCTTAACGGGTCTCCCCCGCCCGCAGTCAACATGGCCAAAATTGAGTGCTATTATGAGGCTTCCAGAGGGCTTCTTCGTTCGTGTCATTTCTGGTGGTCTTATCCTTCCTCTACCCCCCCCCCCCCCCGACCCTCACGCCCCACGCCCGCATCTCGAGACCCCTTATCTCCCCCTTATGAGTTCTTCGTAGTTCCCCTCTTCCTCTCTTCTCTCTTCCCCTTCCCCTTCCCTCCTCTCTTGTTCGTGTTTCTCTTTCTTTTCTCTCCAGTCTTATCTAAAACATTCTCCTCTACTCTTCTACCCGTTATTCGTCCTTCTGTTGGTCTCCTCCCCTTCTCTCCCTCTTCCTCCTCCTTCCGTCATTCCATGTG